TTGGGATAATGTCACCAGACCTAAGGAGTTTGGGGGGCTTGGCTTTCCATCCCTAGCTTCTCTCAAGTTTGCTTTTAATTGTTCCATTATCACCCGGATGTACAATTTGCAGTCCCCCTTATCTCAATGGCTTACTAGCAGATATATTTCTCCCTGGAGTCTGATCCCTACGTTTGCTACCAAATTTTGGAAGGAGGTTTGTCTTACTGCTGGGATGGTTAAACACAAATTTTCTTTTAAAATCACAAGAAATGCGCCTATCTCCTTTCGGTGGGATCACTGGTTATGTAACTCCAGGGTGGAAGAGTTTTTAGCTACACAAGATTTGAATTATCAGTTCCCTACTTTCTATTCTAACAGTCTTGTTAGAGATTTCATTTTGGGAGATAATTGGGCACTTCCTTCCTGCTTTTCTCCTCTGATGAAAAGAAACATTTTAAATGTTGGCATTGAGGAGGGATCTACCTGTCTTTGGTGGGATAATAATAAGGACTGTAAGCATTATAATTTTGTATTAGAGTTTTATAAAAGTCATCCCACTGTTTCTTGGCATAAATTTATTTGGGGACCTAAATTTGGCTTGAGATATTCTTACTGTTCATGGTTAGCTCTGGTTGGGGGGATTAAAACAGCTGAGTCTTTAAATAAAAGGAATATCTTAGTTCCTTTAACTTGCAGCCTCTGTTTTTCTTAATTGGAAAGTGTTGCTCATTTATTCTTTGAGTGCTCATACTCATTCAATATTATTAGAACCTTAATCCCTGGGTCTAATTGTTTTTTAATGGAACCATCCCTATTGCAACTGCTGGAAAGGATTGATGGTAATGGCTTGGTATCTGTTGAAGAGAAAAATCTCTTCTCTTTAATCGTCTGTTGCTGCGTTTACTACATCTGGAATGAGAGAAACCAAAGAAGATTCAATAATGCATTTAACAGTAGTATGTCCACTGTTTTCTGCATCAGAAATGCCGTTCAAGCAAAGATTTTAAGATGGAAGAATTCCTCACATCTATTGGGAAAGTTATACTCTCAAAATGTTTCTATTTAACCCTGCTTCTTGGGTTATATCTCTCGACTTTGGCTGGATCGAAATTGCTATACGATGCTATGTTGGTTCGGGTATAGCCTGAGATAATGATGATGCTCCAATACATCCCCTTGGATGGCTCTCGAGCAACCAGGGGATTAATCACACCGATATTCAACTCAATTTCTCTGAGTCCAGGCTATGGTGGCTTTGGAGCTTTGGTCCCTTTGAAATTCTATGGTTTATTTCTGCTTTTATTCTATTACCGCTGTAGGCTATTCGCTATAAAGCCATTTTATTTGACTTAAAATTTGGGTTTTAAGGTCGATTTTTTTCCATTTTAAACATTTTGAGGTTCCTTTGAGCCTTTTTCTTACTTGTACCTTCTATCCTTAGTTTTTTAATAAAAAGGGCTATGCCCAAATTTTCCCAAAAAAAAAAATAGTAATGGCCTCGAAATTGATGCCTTATGAATGCATTCTGACATAGACATAATTAGTATTAGAGTTTTTTTCTTTTTTATTTTTAACATGAGTTATAATAAAAATTTAATAAATTATAACACAGTAGTAACAATAAAATAAATGCAGTGAAATAAAATATAGTGAAGTAAAAAAATGAAGTGCAAAAACAATAAAATAAATGCAGTGAGTAAAAAAATTTAATTTACCTTATATTAACTCATCATTTATTGATTCACTTTCATAAGATGATACACTTCTAGCACTATCATATTCATTATTACTTTCCTTTATGGTTAAATCTACCTCCTCTAATTGCAACTCGCTCTCATTAATTCTGATTTGGTCATCTACATTAATTGGGAGATTTTTTTAATTTGACATAAACTCTTCTTGATGTGCTGATGGTATTGAAGTGGTTTTCTTAATTACTCCCATTGGTTTTATCTTCATAACTACCAGCCAATCCTGTTTGTCTCATATTCTTCTTGGATAGTTAGTATAATAGACTTGAGTTGTCTGACTAGCAATGATGAATGGATCAAACTTTGCATATCTCCTACCCCGCTTTACTTCTATTATACCATAAATTGGATGTACTCTTGTGCCTCTATTTTGTACTGGTTCAAACCATTCACAATTGAAGAGATACATAGTATTCATGTGACTAGGATATTCCACCTCTAATATTTTTTGTAATACCCCGTAGTATTCAAAATCATCCCCTGTATGGGTGTTCCCTCTTACACTTACGTCAAAATTATTTGTCTTCCTACCTTCACACAAATTTTTTGTTTGGAATTTATAATCATTGACAAAAAATATTTGATAATATTTAACTAATCTATTTAGTCCCCAAGCTAACTCAAATATCCCTAAATACTGCGAATCACTTTCTTCAGTATGTACCTTTAAATGAACAAGATGTTATTATCATTAATATGAATTGCATGCAGAAATAACTAATTAAGACTAATTATTCAAAATATATCATATTTTTAAACCGAGCAGTGAATTCTTTCTCCACTATCTTCTGGACTTCTCCTTCTTCTGATGTACTTAAACCATCAATGAACCTCCTACAAACCATTTTGAGTTTAGAACAAAGTTTATAAGAATAATGAAAATATGAACAAATTAACTCATACTTACTCGAGACATGACTCAAC